GTGTGGCCTGTAATGGCCAGGGGGCAATGTTGCAGGTTCCTCTGTGTAGTGGGGGGGGGGCTCAGGGGGGGGGGCGGGGGGTGCTTTGGCTCCCATCATTTGTGCAAAAAAACATCCGATGGTACAATGGCAAAAAGGTTGGAGGGCGTTTGAGGCCTCAGGTTGGTTGTTTCCTTGCAGACGTTTTATGACCCAACTAGGTAACATCATCAGTGCGAGAAAGGAATGGAATTTGCAGTGGAGAGGAGGAGGACTGTGGGGTCCTTGGTGCTCTCTGAGCCTGGCGGTTTTCTTGCAGAGGTTTCATCACCCAAATTAGGTAACATCATCAGGGCTAGAAAGTGCAAACCCCACTCCTTAGTAGCCCTGCTGACGTTACCTAGTTGGGTAATGAGACGTCTGTAAGGAGATCACCAAGCTCAGAGAGCAGCAAGAACCTGTCCTCCTCCTCCTCCCTGCAAACCCCTCTCCCTTCTAGCACTGATGACGTTACCTAGTTGGGTCATGAAACGTTTGCAAGAAAACATTCCAGCTTAGAGACCACCAAGGACCCCCCAATTCTCCTCTTCCCTGCAAACGCCCCTTCCTCCAACACTGATGATGCTACCTAGTTGGGTAATGAACGCTTGCAAAGAGACCCCCAAGCTCAGAGAGCACCAAGGACCCCACAGGCCTCCTCCTCCTCCCTCTTCTGCTCCTCTTCGTTCTCCTCCTCCTCCCATTCTTCCTTCTCCTCCTCCCATTCTTCCTTCTCCTCCCATTCTTCCTTCTCTTCCTCCTCCCATTCTTCCTTCTCCTCTTCCTCCTCCCATTTCTTCCTTCTCTCTCTTCTTTCTCTTCCTTCTTCTCCTCTTCCTTCTTTTCCTTCTCCCACTCTTTCTCCTCCTCCTTCTCCCACTCTTCCTTCTGTTTTCTTCTCATCTTCTTCCCACTCTTCCTTCTCTTTCTCTCTTCCTTCTCCTTCTCATCTTCCTCCTTCTCCCACTCTTCCTTTTCCTTTTCCTCCCATTCTTCTTCTCTCTTCTCTTTCTGTTCCTTCTTCTCCTCCTCCCACTCTTCCTTCTCCCATTCTTCCTTGTTTCCTTATCTTCTTCCCACTCCTCCTCTTTCTCACTCTTCTGTCTCATCTTCCTTCTTCTCCCACTCTTCCTTTTTCTCCTCCTCCCATTCTTCCTTCTCTCTCTTCTCTTTCTCTTCCTTCTTCTCCTCTTCCTTCTTCTCTTTCTCCCACTCTTTCTCCTCCTTCCACTCTTCCTTCTCCTCTTCCCCCTCCTCCTCCTCCTCTTCTAGTATTGATGATGCTCTACCTACTTGGGGAACGAAACGCCTGCAGAGGAGACNAAAGAAGAGAATAGAAAAGAATATGAAAGAATGAAATGGAATAGAATGGAATAGAGAGATGAAATGGAATAAGAAGAGAAGAGAGAAAGAGGAAATAAGAGCCACAATAGAAATAAAAGAGAGAGTTGGGAGAAGTTACTTGACTGAAGGACCCTGGAAATGCTGTCTGGGTGCTGAGCCCCCATGGATGAGGGCGTTGAGGAGGGTCAAGAGCCCCCGTTTTGGGATCCCTGAAACTCCCAAGCGGTCGCTAAGCGACAGGCCGTCAATCAAGGCTGACCCGGAGGCCGTGTGCTCTTCCTCGCACAGCCACGCTGGACGGAGGGATGGGCCTGCTGCTGCCCATGCAGGAGAAGACCTACCGGCGGCTCCTGATGCTGCAGAACGCCCTGACCTCCATGCTGCCCCACCACGCCGGCCTCAACCCCCGGGCCTTCAGGTACTACCTGGGGGGCACAGAGGGGCGGGCGCCAGGCCCCGAAGGGAGCGGCGAGGGAGGGGGGGCACCCTCGGATCCCGGGCCACCTCACTTCCCGCGCTCTCCCTCCTCCGCCTAGGATGCTGCACGTGGACCGGCGCATCCTGCAGAACGCCGTCCGTAACATCCTGGACGGGGAGCTGCTCAACCGCTACCTCTACCTGAGCACCATGGAGCGCAGCGAGCTGGCCAAGAAAATCGGCACCACGCCGGACATTGTGAGCAGCCGGGGCGGGGAGGCCTGAGGGAGGGGAGGGAACTGAGGGAGGGGAGGGAAGGAATGCAGCCAAATCGCTGCAGGATAAACTCAGCGCAAGAGACCACCACCACAATAAGGATTCTTGAACGGAGAATTCTCCTCCTCCCTCCTTCCCACAGATCCTGGAGGACCTCCTGGAGATCGATCGCGTGACCGCCCATTTCTAGGGTGGGAGGGGTCTCTGCTGCAATGGAAGCAGTTGGACGTGCCCCCCCTCCTCCCCGACCCCCAAGTTGCTGCGTTGCCTGTTGTGTTGGTGTTTGTTTTTGTTTAAAAAAAAAGCGATAAATGAAATATTTGTATAAAATGTTCCGGATTTGTACAGAAACGACCAAGTGGTGTTGACTGGTGTGCTGTGAACCAAGTGGCGGAGGAATCCTGGTTTATGCTGCGGGGACATAATATCTGTTTGTGGCTGGTGGGTGGGGAGGAGTAAGTGGGGCCCCCAGACCTAAATCTGCCCTCGAGGGAGGAAACGATCTCAATTCTGTCCCCCAAAAGTGCTTTTTTTCTCCAAAGAAAACTTTGTTTTTCCTTGAAGAGGTTTCACTTCTTGTCCGGGAAGCTTCCCTGCTTCTGACTGAATAGTAGGAATTTATATCTTTTCTATATTCACCCAGAATCGAAGAAGCTTCTGGGATAAGAAGCGAAACCTCTTCAAGGAAAAACAAAGTTTTCTTTGG